GCGCCCCTCCTGGGCCTTGTCGCGCCCCTCCTGGGCTTCGTAGCGCCCCTCCTGGGGCCCCGTCGCGCCCCTCCTGGGCCCCTGTAGCGCCCCTCCTGGGCCCCCGTCGTGCCCCTCCTGGGCCCCGTAGCGCCCCTCCTGGGCCGCGTCGAGCCCCCCCCCTCCTGGGCCCCGTCACGCCTTCAGGCCCCGTCGCGCTCGCCCGGCCCCGTCGCCCCAGCCCGGCCTCGTCGCACCAGCCCGGCCCTGTCGCACCAGCCCGGCCCCGTCACGCCCGCCCGGCCCCGTTGTACCCGCCCGGCCACGTCGCCCCCTGCCCGGCCCGTCACAGCCGCCCGGCCCCGTCGTACCCGTCCGGCCCCGTTGCGCCCGCCCAGCCCCGGTGCGCCCCTCCTGGGCCACCGTCCTGCTCGCCCGGCCCCGTCGCACCGTCCCGGCACCGTCGCACCAGCCCGGCCCCGACGCACCCGCCCGGCCCCGTCGCACCAGCCCGTCCCCATCGCGCCCGCCCGGCCCCGTCGCGCTCGCCCGGCCCCGTTGCACCGGCCCGGCCCCTGCGCTCGTCCCTGCCCCGGCCCGGTCCTCCCCACTGGTACGGTTCCCCCCCCCCCCCCCGCCCTGCACTGCCCTGCACCGTACTGCCCCGCACTGCACCGCCCCGCACCACCCTGTACTGCCTGGCACCGCACTGCACCGCCCTACACCGCACTGCACCGCACTGCATCGCACTGTACCGCACGGCACCGCACTCCACCTTGCTGCACTGCCCTGCACCGCACTGCAGTGTTCCTGATGGCGGCGGAGCTTCCTGACTCCACCACCCTGACGCCGCTTCCTGTCCCAGCTGCTGTCTCTCTTGCTGACCCCTCCGGCGGTCCGGTCGTCGCCCGCAGTTCCACCACCCTTCCCTGTCCAGCGGTTCCTTCGGGCTCTCTCACAAGTCTGCACATCCCCTCGTTCTCCAGGAACCTAGTTGGTGTCGGCTGCCTCCAGGACCTTGGCGTCACCACTACGTTCCCTGGTCACGAGCGGTATGCTGTCTGTACCGAGGCCGCCACTGGTGCCCCCCTGTCCACGTTCCCCCGGGACCCGGTGTCCGGCCTGTTCACTCAAGACACCGTGACCCCCCGGCTGGGGCGCCTCCTCAAGTGGCTGCGTCTACCCAGGTTGCTGCTGCCTGCTCCTGTCGGTCCCTCACTCACCCGACTCTCCTTTGGCACCACCGCCTAGGTCACCCTGCACTCCCGCGTCTCCGTCACATGTCCCAGCACGGTCTTGTCCTTGGTCTCCCAGGTTCCCTCCCCGCGTTTCCCTCCTCCCCAGCCCCACCTTGCACGCCTTGTGTTGAGGGTCGGCTTCGCCGTGCCCCGCACTCCTCCTCGTTTCCCCCTACCGCCGCGCCGCTGCAGACCCTGCACCTGGACGTCTGGGGCCCCGCCCCCGTCCCTGGGCCGCGTCGAGAGCGCTATTTCCTTGTGCTTGTCGACGACTTTACTCGTTACACCACAGTCTTTCCCCTGGAGCGCAAGGCCAACGTGCCTGGCGCTCTCATCCCCTGGCTTGTCTCTGCGCGTGTCCACCGCGGTCTCCCTGTCTTGCGTCTTCACTCCGACCGTGGTGGCGAGTTTGCCTCAGGTGTCCTTGGTCGCTTTTGTCGTGCGGAGGGCATCACCCAGACGTTCACCCTACCGGACTCCCCACAGCAGAATGGGGTCGCTGAGTGACGCATCGGTTTGGTCATGGAGGTGGCTCGCACCTCCATGATCCATGCCGGTGCACCCCATTTTCTGTGGCCGTTCGCTGTGCGCTACGCTTCTCACCAGCTTAACTTGTGGCCGCACCCTCAGCAGCCGCAGGTTTCGCCGACTCGTCTTTGGACTGGGTCTCCTGGTGACGCGTGTGCGTTCCACGTCTGGGGCTGCCTTGCTCACGTCCGTGCCTCCGGCACGGGCAAGCTCACTGCCCGCACCCTTCTCTGTGTCTTCCTCGGTTTTCCCCTTGACGAGTCCGTCTCCTACTACCGTCGCTTCCCACCGTGCTCCCCCGGTTACCCCCCCCTGTTCCTGGTCACTCCTTCCCCGGTAGTCCCTGCCCCTCCTCCTCCTCCTCCCCGTCCGCCCCCTCTGGTGTGTCCCACGTCACCCCCCTTCCGTCGTGGACCCGGTTGAGGAGTCTTCTGACTCTGGTGGCCCTCCTGTTCAGTCCTCGCCGGCCGCCCTCCCCTGGCGTCCCTCCCCAGTCCCCCCTCCACCGCCTCTGCCGCCGCTGCAGCCGTCGTTGTCGCTGCCGCCGCCGCCGCCGCCGTCGCAGCACCCGTTCGCTGACTCTGGGGGTGCTCGTCCCGGTAGCCCTGGGGGTGGTCCCTCTGGGGGTGCTGGTGTGGTGAGTGCCGGTGGTAGCCGAGGAGCAGCTTGCGGTCCCGGTGTCGCCGTTGTGCCGCCGCAGCTGCAGTCCCCGCCGGTGTCCGCCCTTCGCCTGCTCGCCTTCCGTCCCCCGACCCTGCGTCGGTTCCTCCCCGGCCGTCTCCTCCTCTTCCTGTCTACGGCCCTGTCTTCCCTCCGCCGGACTCGTCCCCGCCCGTCTCCCCCTCGTTCCCCTCCTGTGTCCCTCCTCTGTCTCCTGACCCGACTCCTCCGTCGCACGTCTGGTCTCACCGTCCCTCCCGCGCTCGTCCTGCCTCGCCTCTTGCGCTCCCACCCTATGTTGCTTCGTTCCCACGCGTCTCGTCCTCCCCTTCTGCCGTCGCCTCCTCCATCCTCCCTTGTTGTTGCACCCCCCCGCTGTCTGACTACCTTCGTGCCGCTCGTCCCCTTGTTCCTCGGGTCCTTGCCTCTCTCGTTACCGACCCGTCTGTTCCGACCTCGTGCCTTGACGCTCTTGTCGCTGCTGTCGCTGACTTCGCCTCTACCCGCCGCCTTGACTACGCCTCCGCTCTGGTCTCTGACCCTGCCTGTCCTCCGTCTGTCGGGGGTGCTCCTGCCCTTGGCAGTGACGTCCTGGAGGACCGCCAGTTCGAGCTTGCTTTCCTGTCCGAGGCTGCTCCCCATCTCTGTTCCATGCTGCTAGTCCCTGAGGGTGACCCAGACGCTTTCGACATCCCGACCCCTCGCACTTACGCTGAGGCGACTTCGGGACCCTGGGCCTCGCAGTGGATAGCTGCCATGGAGCAGGAGATGGCATCTTGGAGATCCACCGACACCCCCACCTGGGTGAACGTAGTCGATGGCCGCTGGCTCTTCAAGGTGAAGCGCCCTCCTGGAGAGCCGCCTGTCTTCAAGGCGGCTATGTCGCTAGAGGCTTCAGTCAGCGCGAGGGGGTGGACTTCTTCCAGACCTTCGCTCCGACCCCGAAGATGACTACTCTTCGGGTTCTGTTACACCTAGCTGCTCAGCGTGACTACGAGCTTCACTCCCTCGACTTCTCCACTGCCTTCCTTCAGGGCAGCCTACACGAGCAGGTCTACCTGCGGCGCCCTCAGGGCTTCACTGGCACCTTCCCTCCTGGGACCCAGTGGCTCCTGCGGCGCCCCGTCTACGGCCTGCGCCAGGCTCCCCGTGAGTGGCACGACACTCTCCGTGCTACGCTTGCTGACCTGCAGTTCTTTCCGTCTTCCGCAGACCCTTCACTCTTCGTTCGTGCTGGCCAGATCCGTTCTACATCCTTGTTTACGTCGACGACCTGGTCTTTGCCACAGCTGACAGGGACGCACTGGCCTCCGTGAAGGCAGAGCTGCTGAAGAGACACACGTGCACTGACCTTGGAGAACTGCGCCGTTACCTTGGCTTGCAGATCTCCAGGGACAGAGCTGCGCGCACCATCACCCTGACTCAGTCACACTTGGTGCGCCAGGTCCTTCAGAGGTTCAGCCTTCAGTTCTCCTCTGCACAGCCCACCCTCTGCCTGTAGACCACAGACTCTCCGCTCCAGTGTCTGAGGAGTTGGTAGAGCAGAGCCCCCTACGCAGAGCTGGTGGGTTGCCTCATGTACCTGATGACTTGCACTCGCCCAGATCTCGCATACCCTCTCAGCATCCTGGCTCGCTTTGTGGCCACAGGCAGACACCGACCGCAGCACTGGTCTGCCGCTAAGAGGGTTCTGCGTTATCTTGCTAGTACATCGGGCATGGGGTTAGTGCTAGGAGGACGCAGGCCAGTGGTCCTTACTGGACACACAGACGCTTCGTGGGCAGACGACGCTGAGACACTCAGGTCTACCCAGGGCTACTGCTTCAGCCTTGGCTCAGGTGCCGTCTCGTGGAGAGCTACCCGCTCCTCGTCTGTTGCGCAGTCCAGCTGTGAGGCTGAGATCTACGCTGGTGCCATGGCGGCACAGGAGCTCCGCTGGCTGACCTTCTTGCTCACTGACTTAGGTGAGCGGCCTAGCTCTGCCCCGGTCCTGTTCGTTGACAACAGGGCCATGATCCTCCTGTGTCAGGAACCTCGACTCGAGGGCAGAGCAAGCACATTCAGCTGCGGTACTTCCTCCTGCGTGAGCTACAGCAGCGACGTCAGGCTCGCGTAGTACACTTGGCCTCAGGTGCCAACACGGCTGATATCTTTACGAAGGCGCTTGCGCCTAAAGATCATCAGCGGCACTGTGTACAGCTTGGTCTAGTTCCTGTAGCCTCTCACTTGCTAGGGCCTTGACTTTGTACTGTCCTTTATATGCATACTCAGACTGGACTTGTGTCCTCTCCTAGTGGCTGAACTAGTAGTGCCGCCCTGCTCTTGTTCTTGCCTTGTTTGTACTCCTTCTGATGGTCTCTCAGACCCTTGTCTCAGAGGTTGGACTAGTAGTGCCGCCCTGAGCTGTTTGTTTAGGGCATTCCCCTATGCAGTCTAGGGGGTGTGTCAAACATGTGTATTTGTCATGTTTGTATAGATTGGATAGGGTCGCCTCTTAGAGAGTACAACACTTAGGTATATCTGTGTGTACTCTCACTCTATCAATTATTCACTTCTCAATTCTGATACTCATACCATGAAATAAATCTCCTGGTGTTGTAAAAGACTAAGTATAAAACTATTAATGAGAACACTTGGCAAACCCTCAAATGTTGGTCCAGGATCTTTGCTGGAATGGTAGACTAGTAAGACAGCGGAAGTCTTATCAGAGTGAACCTGAGCACATGAACTTGTGGGTAGTCGAAGGTTGAATAACCTGAGCACATAATTCTGTGGAAAGTCAAGGTTAATAATAGAAAGGCATTACAAGGATTTATATCTCTAGGGAAAGTACCTGTTCGCTAATGTATCTGTTCGTCGCTATCGCGCTATGCGACCTATTCGTCATTCTATAGGGTCGCGACTGTTCGCGTGACTGAAACGACTCGTTATTCCTATTACGTAACTGAAGCGGTATATGACGTCATCCCGAGACCCGCGATGCTTTGATGACGTCAGCAATCGGACTTGTTTCCTTACCGAGAAACTCGATACTGCGCGCTACACTAAAAACGGAACTTGCAGGGATGCAAAACTTCATTTATCACAACAAGGCTAACGCTTGAGGTTTTCCAAGTGTTCGTGTTTGCAGATTCTACACTTAGTCTTCTGCAACACCTGTAAAAATATTACAGGTACTAGCAAACACCCTGAAAAAAAGCGTTAAAGGCGTAAAAATCCTGATATCGTGGGGCCTGTCAACTACTCAAGCATCTTGTACAAGGGGGACTTAGTCTCTGAAAAGATCCTAGGGCTTTTCTCAGCCCAACATACATAAAGCACAAACCCTGTGAGGTGCACACTTTTCAGAGCGTGTGCCCTGAGGGCAGGGTGCCTAAATTTGAGCTTGAGGTCCTGCTCTGCCCACTTGCCTCTCTTTTACCCCTTGGACCAGGCTGCACGCATGCAGCTCAATACCACACCCCCACAGGCACAACAGCCAGGACCGTCCGGCCTCAAAGTATCAAGATATCATCACTCTCCATCCTTCTGCACACCTCCTCCCTCCTCTCCCCTCCCCCCCAGCCCCCTGCGCCCCCTCGTCGTCGCCCTCCTTGCGGAACACGAACACGCAGTACAGGTACGCTGCGTCCCACTCGTCCGCCGTCATCTCCTCGCGCCACGCCTCGCCCACAATGCGGCGCAGCAGCGACGCGTGCGGCTCCACGGCGGCGTGCGTCTTGATGAAGTCGTGGAAGTTGGCGTGGTACTCCAGCTGCAGCCCGTACTCCCCAGCCAGGCGCCGCAGGAAGGGGAAGGGCACGAGCCACTCAGGGCAGTCCACGGCGTCCTCCAGCCGGAACTCGTACCGGATGCCAAACGGCCGGGACGACGGGAAGTGCTTCACGCCGAACTCCGCGGCGAACTCCACCGAGTACACGGCGTTGCCGAACCTGAGGCTGGGCGCGGCGCGCAGCTTCTGCACGAGCACGTTGGCGTCGGGGATGGTGCCGATGAATGCGCCGCCCGGCCGCAGCAGCGCCGCAATGTTGCGCAGCCCGCAGCGCGCCCGCTCCTCCGTCTCGAACGAGTAGTGCAGCGCGAACTGCGTGGAGCAGATGTCAAACGGCGCCCACGCCGCCAGCTCGCGGTCCAACGCCACCCCGAAGCAGTCCGCGCACGCCAGCTTCGCCGGGAAGCGCATCTGCCGCCGCCCCACCCTCCCCGGTTCCCACCCCTCCCCTGCCCCCTCCCACGGCAAACGACTCGTCTGAGTCCCCGTTGTACCGCGCCATGGCGTCGTGCACCGACCCCTCCGCCACGTCCACCCCAAAATAGAACCCGACCCCGGCGCGCGCCCACTTGGTGAGGTCGCCGCCCTTGCCGCACGCGAGGTCCAGCACGCGCGCGCCGCGGGGCGGGTGCGTGTGCAGGCGGATGAGGGCGGACTTGACCCAGTTGTTGAGCTTCTTCAGGTGGATGATGGGGCTGGCCTCGCGCACGTGCCGCTGCTGGTTGTCGCGCCGGCTGTAGTGGTCCGCCACCACACGCACCAGCAGCCCTGAGGATGCCCCCGTGCTGCCCGCTGCCCCGCCTCCTGCCCCTGTGTCCGCCCGCTTGGCTGCTCGCCCAGCGCTCTCTGGTGCCCCGGGCGAGCCCCTCTCCTTGCGCTTCACGCCACTCTCTTGCAGCTCCCCCCCTCGCCGCCCTCGCCCCCGCGCCTCGCCAGTCCTCTCCGCTTCTGTCGCTCCCTGTCCCGCCTCCCTCGCCGTCGCTAGACGCGTTATAGTCACTCCCGTCGTCCTCGTCAAAGTCCAGACTCACGCCCAACCCCCCATCCACCTTGCCCACACCCCCTCCCCTCCCGCTTGTCGCCCTCACGCCCGTCGCCGCCGGCGTCTCGTCCCGCCGAGTCCCCGCCACCGTTGTCCTTGGCATCGGCTCGCAGCCCGTCTCCTTCATACCCGCCCTCCCTCTCCTCCTCCCCTCCCCCATCGCCTACCCTCCTCTCTTCCACCGCGCCCCGATCCTCGCTCTCCCCGTCGCTGTGCGACGACCGCGACGACGCTGACGACCTAGACGACAGCGACGATGAAGATCGCGACGAATGCGACGGCGACTGCGACGGCGAGTCGTCGCGACTGGGGAATCGCGACGGCCGTCGGTGCCAGCCGGCGAAGCCGCTTCAGCGGACTCGTTACCAGACGCCTCCCTGGCGCCGTTCGGGTCGTCCCGGCCGGCCGGCTCCCAGTCGTCGGCGTCGCTGCCGTCCTCCAAGCTCGCCACGCGCTCCAACCCGAACCCCGCAAAATCCATCCGGCCGCTCTCGACTCTTCACCGCTGCCCACCCACCGTACGCTATCCCTACTCTCGCTACCGCTGCAGCTATCTCGCTGAAGCCTCCTCTAGACACGTCCGTAGCTTATTCCTCGCCCGTGCTGGGAGTCACCCACAATACCTGGCCGAGGCCCCACGCTCGCTGGGCTGTCCATGGGTTGAAGTGCAGAACGAAACAAATACTCGTTACAAAGTCTCACCCGCTGAAGGCAATGTTCGAGACCAAATATGACAAAATAGGGGTAAACTAGTATAAGAATTTCGAATTCTAGGGTGAAAATAACAAACAAGTAACGAAAGTGTTAACAGAGTAACAAAATTAACTAGAATGAGACATACACTGTGGTTTTGTGCTAAGGGGTTATACTCTCTAAGAGTACGCACCTATCTAGCCTATAGTAACATAAACACATACGTTTGATACACCCCCTAGGCTAGATGAGGGGCAGTGCCGGGCAAAGGACACGCAGCTCAGGATGGCACTACTAGTCCAACCTCAGAGGCAGGAGTCCGAAGACCAGTCAGCAAGAGTACAAACGAAACAAGAGTATCCCAGGACGGCACCACTAGTCCAGCCACTGGAACAAGAGCCACAAGACCAGTCAACATAATATAAGAGGAAGTATACATCAGAGCCCTAGCAAGTGAGAAGCTACAGGAACTAGACCAAGCTGTACACTGTGCTGCTGATCATGTTTAGGCGTAAGCG